CTGCATTATATACACACCCATATGCACACTCCTTGAAATTCTGAAATGGTTTCGTGTGATCAAAATTCTCGAGTGAAGGTTGCCGATAACATAAACTATGATCGGGTTTCTGCAGAAGAAAATCGAACATGGTATTAGAGCCCAAGGGCTGACCGATCGCTGGAAGAAAGTGAAGGAGTCGATCAAATAACAAGAAAAATTGATCGATTGGCAGCAAACACAAGAAACGATCGAGTTACAAGGTTTGATCGAAGAAACCGACGAATTAATCGAAAAGGAAGAATTACCAAACGAAGTACACACAGGAGGAAATTTCAAAATTTAAAGAGAAGTATAGAACTCGCAAGTTTACTTCGCGGTTGGAATCTCGGTGGAGAAATCGGCAAGAAGAGAAACAAGAAATCGTTATGTTACCGTTGCTTTGGAAGAGGCCATTTTGGATGGGAATGCCCTATGAAACAATCCAGTCTTCATGCCTCACAGTCTATGCATAAAGAAGAACCTTATAATTTGAACATGTGCATCACACTCATCAGTCGCTTACAACCATTCAGTCAAAAGTATGTAGATCGAATGATCATAAATGGAGATTATCTCCTTGAACGATCAAACTAGGGTACATGGGACTCAATTTGGTATGTGAACACAAGGATTTCCAAACACATGATACCAAACCACGACTTGTTCACAACTTTCAAGAGTGGTTTCACTGTTAACAAAGAAGATCATCATGATCAAATCGCAATCCATGGTGTTGGGGAAATCGAAGTGACATCAGATGGAACGGTGTTTTCTATACCTTATGTATCATATGCACCCGGGATCAATATAAACGTGTTAAGTCTAAAGCAACTAATCTTGCAAGGTTTTGAACTCGAGATCAAGGACTTTGGATGTGTAATCATTCACATGTGTGTGAGTCGACGGAATCAAGAAGTTGATCAGAATGAGTCGACGGAATCAAGAAGATGATCAGAATGAGTCTACTTCAAGGATCAATACAGAAACCAACCAAGGTTCAAACGAAATCGAAGATGGATTGGAAATTGAAGGAAAAACGGTACCTCTGATTGTTGAAACTTTTGATGATTTTATCTTATTCATGGTGTTAGTGAATTGTGATAGAATCTGTTACAAAAACAAAGATTATTTCATGAAGATATTCGAGAAGGCAATAGGTTGGTTTCAAAAGATGAAGACCGGAGAGGATCTTGCACTACCACCAAAGATTGCAGGACTAGACGTTCACTTATTCGATTTCTACAAAATGGTGATGAAATCAGGAGGTCCTAAGGAAATTACTAAGAAAAACGAATGGAGTGAAATGGCTATGAGTTTTGGGTATCCGGAGTGCTACGGGCAAACATTTAAGGAATTATTTGATCAATATTTATTGATTCCACAAGAGCACTACGAGTTTGGATTAAAGAGATTTGGGAGAATTCCGAGCATTTACGAACAAGACGTTGGAGATGAAACCAACAGGTTCTTTTTCGGGCAATATTGGCTCAGAAGGCGGTGAGGCCAGGAGTCAGGATCAGGATGATCAGAACGTTGCAGATACTCGGAGGCCGGATAAAATTCAAGCTCGGGATAGTGAAGATGAAGAGCCTAGCATTGTGGAGTACTACTCAAATGAAGATGTTGGTGATAGCAGCAAGGAAAGTGATGACTTTGTCATCATCTTGTAAAGATCGAAGCAGGTTTGGAAGAATAAATGACATGATGTTTAAGGGGAAATTAAATATCATTTGTCATTTTTATAAATAATTAGACATATTATTTATTTTAAATTGTATTATGTGTAAATTAAATGATGTGTCATGTGACACATCATCATCGATGGTGTTAAGAAGATGTTCGAAGATTATTTGCTACACCCACAATCCTACTACGGGTTCATGCTTGAAGAGAAACCAAACAAGTATACCAAAGGACTGGGTACTTTTGTAGATCAAGCAATGGACTTGCTAATCACTTTGAAGGAACTGTAGCAGGGATCAATGCAGCAGCAAAATCTACTGAGCATATCTCAAGCACCAAGAATTTGCTGATTATATCATTAAGGGGGAGATTGTTGGAATTAATGATATAATTAGATTAGTATTTTAGTATATTATTAAACTAAAGTGTGTCCAAATCAGTTATTATGGTAGTTATAGCGAGTTAAGGGTGAAACATCACATCCCTTGATAAGTGTCGATTCATGCCTTATAAATAGGTGCGTATATGTACTTTGTAAAACTATCATCCTCTACAATATAAATAGATATTTACTGCATTATATACACACCCATATGCACACTCCTTGCAATTCTGAAATGGTTTTGTGTGATCAAAATTCTCGACTGAAGGCTGTCGATAACGATAACTATGATCGGGTTTCTGTAGAAGAAAATCGAACAGTCGTGTCGCCGATAGATACATCAAACTTCCGACCAAACTTCGATAGATTGTAGGATCAACATGTTCTTCCTCTGCATCTTTTGATAACTTCAAACCGACTTCCATTGGTGTGGTGGGACTTGGGATTGCATCTTCCATATGAAATCTTTTTAGGATTTCAGTAGCATATTTTTTCTGAGAAATCGAAATGCCATCTTCATCTTGTTTTACTTTAATTCCTAAGAAGTAATGAAGCTTTCCCATGTCTGTCATTTCAAACTCCAATTTCATAGAGTCTTTAAATTCTAAGATCATTCTTGGGCTGTTTCCTGTAAAGATGAGATCATCCACATATAGGCAAACAAATAGTAATTCATTCTCACTTTCTTTGATAAACAAAGTGTGCTCATATGGACATTTTCGAAACCATGATTCAAGAAGTAACCATCTATACGACTACACCAAGCACGTGGTGCTTGTTTAAGGCCGTATAGAGCCTTTTTTAATCTGCACACTTTATGTTCTCCTTTTTTGATGTAGCCTTGAGGTTGTTCAATATATACCTCTTCTTCATGATATCCATTCAAAAAAGCCGACTTTACATCCATTTGATGGATGTTCCATTTATTCTGGGTTGATAAAGAAATGATCAACCGTATGGTTTCTAGTCTAATATAACCGGGGCAAAGACCTCATTATAATCCACCCCGAATTTTTGTTTATACCCCTTTACCACCAAACGTGCCTTGAATTTATCGATTTCCCCAGTTTCTTTGAGTTTCGTTTTATAAACCCATTTTACTCCTATAGGTTTGTGACCAGAAGGGAGTTCTACCAGATCCCATGTCTCATTTTTTGTAATGACTCGATTTCTTGGTTCATTGTTTCTTGCCAATGAACATGTTTTCTTGCCTCTTCATAGTTAGTTGGATCTGCATCTGCAAAAAGAGCAAAATCTACCATCTCATCGATATCTATACGATCTGTTTGATTGTATATATCCCTTAAACTTCTCATGTTTATTGGTGTATTAGGAGACTGTGAGGAAGATGTTGTAGGCGAATCTTGTGAAACGCTTGTTGAAATAATAGGGCTATTAAATGGAGAATGTACCTGATCATCCAATTGCTCTATTTATGTATTCTTTGTCATATCTTCTCCATCATTGAATATTGCTTGACCATCTAACTTATCTTCATCCCAATTCCAACTTTTTTTCATCAAATATTACATCTCTTGAAATAGTAATCTTGTTTGTTTCTGGATTATATAACCTGTGTGCTTTAGAATGTTCACTATAACCCACAAAGATACATTTTTCTGACATATCATCTAGTTTTCCACGTTTCTCAAATGGTGTATGTCCAAATGCAATGCTGCCAAACACCCTTAAATGTGATATTACTGGTTTAACTCCATTCCAGGCTTATTGTGGTGTTTTATCTTCTAGACTTTGAGTAGGTGATCGGTTCAGAATATAAACAGCAGTTGCCACACCTTCAGCCCAAACTTTATCAGGCAATCCTTTTCCTTTTAACATACTACGAGCCATCTCCATGATAGTTCGGTTCTTCCTCTTCGTAACCCCGTTCTGTTGGGGGTATACCAGACAGTTTTATGATGTCTAATACCATTGTCTTTTAAAAAATCTTCAAAAACTTGGGAAGTAAATTCCCCACCGTTATCTGACCGTAATATTTTTAAGAAAATATTCTTTTGTTTTTCTACAAAAACTTTAAATCTTTTGAAGTGTTCAAATACTTACGATTTTTCTTTGAGGAAGTATACCCATGCTTTTCTACTAAAATCATCTATAAAAGAGAGTGTGTATCTATTACTTCCAATCGAAGTAGTACACATAGGTCCACACACATCTGTGTGAACCAACTCCAGTGGTTGAGATGCTCTCCAAGCTTGGTTGGGAGGGAACAACGTTCTTGTGTGTTTCCCCAGTGCACAACTCTCACAAATCTCCTTATTTTGATTGATGCTCGGTAATCCATGTACCATTCTTTTCTTATACGTTTGTTCCAAAGAACCAAAACCAAGGTGTCCAAACCTTCGATGCCACAGTTCTGACTTGTCTACCAAAGACATGTTGAACGAGGCCAAAAACTTTTAATCAAACTTCAGAGGGAACATCTTATCCCCGGTCATATCCACAACTCCTAGAAGAGTTCCTTCTTTATCTTTAATCATGCAAGCACGATTCTTAAAGTGAATGTCAAATTCATTCAAAAGCAATTGACCAACACTAAGTAAATTGTGCTTTAGTGCTGGTACGTAAAAAACATCTGTAATTTTTTTGATTCCTTTGTTGGTTAATACCCTGAAAAACATTGTCACATGAATTTTTTTTTTTGAAAACCTTCTGTGTAAGAGCCTGGGCTCTGATACCACTATGATGATTAAAGATATAATATACACAAATGATTTGAACAATTCCAAACACAAGTCTGTAAACACATAAACCTTTCCACCCTTTTGTTTCTTATTAATCGAAAAACACACCTGTACAGACTTTATTATATATATATATATATATATACATACATACATACTAAAAGAGATGGTTAAGAGCAGTTATATCTTAACCATCGTGACCCTTCCTAACTGACAAAACCTTTCAGATATAACGTAAGTATTTACATTAAACATAAGTCGAGAATACTAATTTAACAAACAGTAGTAGCAAGATTTGAAACAGGTTCTCAAAACATAAACTAACATGATGAGATAAATACAATAAATTTAACCATCACATAGAGATTGTTGTCGAGCCAGACCTGGATCTTGGTTTTGTTCGGCATCATTACTACCGGTAGATGCATAAAATCTTATTGCTAGCTCATCATCCCGATCGATAATCATGTTGCAAATCATGACTATCCGAGTTTTGGTGTTGTTCAGTATCCTTGTAAAAGAATTTGGCAGTGCAACAATAGATTATGAAGTTTGTTGAGCAAGCATATATCAAGAGTCTATAATACTTGTCTACCCGACTCTCGTTGATTGTATCGCCGAACCATTCTCGTTGGCTTTTAAGCAATAAGATGAGAAAAATGTTAAGCAACTTTCCAAAGCCATGAACTATTTCAATGTATTCCTCCCCATAACTCCTTATGGGCTCGTCTTTAATCTGTGACTTGTAGAAATTTAACAACCCTTCCCCAGTAAGTCCTTCCATGCATCCAAGCATGCAGAACTGAGGCACTAACCAAAGAAAACTTATGGAAGTATTTTCATCTTCAGGCAGAGTCTTGACTGCTTTTAACCTGTGAACCTCTAGTTGCCACGCCGAAACACAACTTATGATTGCAAAAATCATCCCAACACCAATTTTTACCTTCTCGTTTTTACCGACACTGCTAATCCAGCGTATATCACAAATCGCACGATACAGAAACGGGATAAGAAAGCTTGAGGAATCTTGAACCAAGTTGTATATCTGGATTGGTATTTTGTCAGGATTTAGGTAGCTATATTGCTGAAGAAAGAAAGTATTACCTGTTGCTGATATTACACACACCACCATAAACACTCCCCACATGGGAAACATCCTTAAAAGCCTCTTTATGACTACCATATCTTCTTGTTTATAGGAACTACTCTCTCTATCTTCAAGCCCTATCATATTTAAACGTAGTACTGATCTTTCCTGTGCAATCCCTTCATTTGTTGTCATTTCGATTCCTAAATTCTGTTGGAGTGATCTGTCTTGTCCTAAAGTATTCGTTGAACACCTAGTCATGAAACATGTTTCGATTCAGATTCTTGTGCATGCATAAAAGGCGACTGTAAACATGTACTGTTGGGTATACAAAACAAACTAGATAAACTATTTTTGATGTAAGAAAAGAAAAACTTTTACTTGAGACTGATGTCATAAAGATATTACCGTGAGTTGTCGACCTTGAGTAGCTTCTGAATACGAGCACGAAACACTCGAAAGAAGATCTCAACGGGTCTTTCAGTCAAGGCATCCTGATGATAGACATTATGTCCTTTGCAGAAAATCATCAAAACGGTAGTTATAGTGATTATACAAATCATGAATGAACTTCTCCAAGATGGACGAACCCCCCCAAGAGCATCAGTGGCAACCCATAATATAGCTGAAATGACACCAAGCACACCTGCTATACGCAACCAGATTGTTGCACGTGCAATAGATCTTGTTTTAGTTCGGTCCTCTGATTTATCAATGTCATGGACCAGGTCGATAAGTACATCCCGTAAAACATTGGCTCCTGATGTTCCAAGAGCAAGGAGAACTAGTGCAACCACTACAAGCCATTTCACGTCATATGGATTGAACATCCAGAAAAGCATCAAGCCCTGTAACAAAAGACATGTAAAAATGGTCACCACCAAACCACTATAACATAACAGATTCTGTATTTTTTATCTCGATTTTTCCGTCAAATGTTGAGTGTGTATTTGGATTATCTCAACGTAAAGTCATGATACCCAAGGCAATAGGGTCAAAATATTAATTATATACAGTGATTTAGTTCATGATCCAGTATACTATCCAATTATTATTAAAAGCATTGTAAAAACTTATCAAAATGTTCAAAAGCATGCTACAAACCTGTTGTATCGCTTTTAGACATGACTCTTTATAGTTTAGTCCTAAAAACTTAAGTTTTATAAAGTATTCTATTAGGACTAGGCATCCTATAAAAACAATTTTGTTGTAGTGTGTGTTAGTTTCACAACAACAAGCAGCGACAAAGGTAGGTTTCCTAACCTAGTTAAGTGGACACTACCATTATAATTGTTGCAAATATCGAACACAGCAAACTCAAGCCAACCCAGAAAACCGAGATCGAATTTGAGTAGAAACTGTTGGATACAATAAAGTATAATCCAAATTTGTATATTATTGACATCAACTTTCAAATGAATACAGACACGACCCATATATACAAAACAAACAGACACAATGAAAAGACACAACTATTCGACAAAGGAACACATTGACAGTTATCCTTAACTGTCAAACGGTAACTAACGAATTTAACTGTCACATAACAGAAGTGACTGTTAGAGCCTAAACCAGCGGAAAAATCAACCATGCAAAGCTTAACTTTAATAGACCCCCTTAAGCTTGCAATGGTTGCACCTTCAGATTATCTTTCATAGTAGTGAAAATCCTTGACTGAAGAGCTTTTGTGAAACAATCAGCAAGTTGTTCCTTTGAGCAACAGAATTTAACTTGAACTCATTATTTGAAACCAGTTCTCGAATGAAATGATACTTAAGTCTGATATGCTTACTTTTTCCATGAAAAACTGGGTTCTTTGAGAGAGCAATAGTAGAACTATTGTCACAGAAAACAGTAGTAGCCCCTTCCTGTTTGTGATCCAATTCCTCTAAAATAGCCCGTAACCACAGAGTTTGACAGCCTGCGATAGATAGTGATATATACTCTGCTTCAGCAGAGGATAGAGCAACTACACTTTGTTTTTTTGATTGCCAAGAAACTGCTCCAGAGCCTAAATTAAAGACATAACCAGTTGTGCTTCTTCCATCGTCTATGTTTACACCAAAATTGCTGTCACTATATCCTATGAGTCTGAATTTCTCAGTTTTTGAATATACAATACCATGGTTGATGGTGCCTTTGACATACTTTAAGATCCTCTTTCCAGCCTCCCAGTGACTGACTTTGGGAGCTTCCATAAACCTGCTTATGATACTGACAGCAAACACCAAATCTAGTCTAGTGGCAGTCAAGTACATAAGGCTACCTACTAGACTTCTGTAGAGACTCCCATCAACAAGATCTTCCATACAAGTCTTAGAAAGTCTTAAACCAAATTCCATAGGAGTAATGGCAGTGTTAGAGTGTTTCATATTGAATCTGTCAAGAAGGTTTTAAGCATACCTTTGTTGAGAAATCCTTATGCCTTCTTCACTTTGTTTAACTTCAATTCCAAGAAAGAAATGAAGTAAACCCAGATCTGTCATATCAAACTCTTTCTTCATGCTATTCTTGAAATCCTCTATTAATTTTTGAGAATTTCCTGAAAATACTAAATCATCTACATAGATGTAGACAATCAACATCATACCTTCAATTTTCAAAGTGAATAGAGTGTGTTCTTGAGGACATTTCCTGAAACCATTTGTGATGAAGTAGCTTTCAATCCTGCTATACCAAGCACCTGGTGCTTGTTTCAAGCCATAGAGGGCTCTTTTCAACTGATATACCTTATGTTCTTCTCCCCTCTTGATGTAACCTTCAAGTTGATCTATGTAGACACTCTCTTCTAAGTTTCCATTCATGAAGGCTGATTTTACATCCATTTGATGTACTTGCCATCTGTGTTGTGCAGCTAAAGCCAATACAATTCTTATAGTTTCAAGTCTTATCACAGGTGCAAATACTTCTTGATAGTCAATCCCATGTTTTTGTTTATACCCTTTCACAAGCAACCTTGATTTGTATCTATCTACCTCTCCCTTCTCATTTAATTTGGTCTTGTAAATCCATTTAACACCAATGGATTTATGACCACTTGGTAAATTCACAAGGGTCCATGTATCATTTCTTACAATTGCCTCAATTTCTTTATCCATAGCTTCCCTCCACTTCTTTTCTTTATTGGCTTCCTCAAAAGTCAAGGGGTCAGCATCACAGAAGAGTATGAAGTCTGCATTTTCGTTGAACTCTAAGCTTCTAGGATCATTATAGATATCACATAAAGTTCTATAGCCCCTTTTGGGTGGACTTTCAGTAGAAGCTTGTGTATTAGGAGATTCTAAAGTTGAGAGGTACTAGGGGTATTAGAGGGATTTCTTGTTGGAGATAAAGGATCCTGATCTTCTTGATGACTATGTTCCTTTTCACCTTGAATTATCTCTTTCTGACCTTGATCAATTTCTACAATTTTTGTTGTTCCTTTACCTTGATCAATTTTGTCATTCCATGATTTTCCTTCTTCAAACACTACATCTCTACTAATAATGGTTTTTCAAGAAATGGGATTGTACAACTTATAAGCTTTTGATCTATCACTGTAGCCTATAAAGATGGCTCTTTCTGACTTTTCATCCAGTTTGCTCCTCCTTTGTTCACGTATATGAGATTAGGCCAAACAACCAAAGACTCTTACGTGTCCTACAGTTGGTTTGTCTCCTGTCCAGGCTTCCTGAGGTGTTTTATCAGTAAGACCTTTTGTGGAGGTTCTATTTGTTAAATAACATGCACATGCCACAGCCTCAGCCTCAGCCCAAAATGAATTTTCCAAATTTTTTGCTTTCAACATGCTTCTAGCTTTCTCTATTATGGTTCTATTTACTCTTTCTGCAACTCCATTTTGCTGAGGAGTGTATCTTGTTGTGACTTGATGATGAATACCATGTTCTTTCAAGTATTCAAGGAAATATATAGAATTATATTCCCCACCCCCATCTGATCTAAGGGTTTTAATTTGATATCCACTTTGTTTTTCAACAAAGGCTTTGAATATCTTGAAGTTTTCAAAAACTTCAGATTTTTCTTTTAGGAAATAAACCCATAACTTTCTGCTAAAATCATCTATAAGGGTAAGCATGTACCTGTTTCCACCAATTGAAATGGTTTTCATTGGTCCACACACATCTGTGTGGACTAATTCAAAAGGTTTTGATGCTCTCCAAGTTGCTTCTTGTGGGAAAGCTTCTCTTGATTGTTTTCCAAGCATGCAGCCTTCACACACCTCATCTATTTTGGTTATAATAGGCATACCTTTCACAAGATTGTGTCTTTGCATGTAGCTTAATTATCCAAGACCTGTGATGCCACAACAGAGAATTCTGTTTTGTGGATACATGCAGAGAGAACAACATGTCATCTTTAAAACTCAAAGGAAACATTTTGTTGTCTGTCATTTTTACCTTGCTAATCACATGTCCGTTTGGATCCTTGACTTCACATGCCTTTCCCTTGAATTTTACTTCATATCCTTTTTATAAAAGTTGTCCTATACTTAGGAGGTTGAATTTCAAACCTGGGACATAATACACGCTTGGTATTCTCTTCTGTCCATTTCTTGTGTTCACAAAGATATCTCCCACTCCTTTTACCTTCAGCATGTTGTCATCACCTGTTCTTACTTCCTTCTTTTGGATTTCATCCATATGAGTAAAAAAATCCAAATTTCCAAACATATGGTTGCTACAGCCACTGTCTAAGTACCATGTGTTGTTAATAGGTAATTCTTGTGTACTAAGGATCATAAATACTGCATCATCATTATCTTCCATATTTATTAAATTTTTGTCTCTTTCATCAGCAATTTTCTTTCTGCAGTATTTTGCTATGTGCCCAATTTTCTGGCAATAATAGCACTGCATTGGAAAGGATTTTCCTCTACCCTTTCCTCTAAAAGCTGGTTGATGTTCTCTTGACCCACCTGTTTCTATCTTACTGTTCTCTTGAAGGCTGTGTTTGAGATTGAAAAGCTTGTTCATATGGTGTGGTATCGAATTGTTTCATTCTTAATTCGTGTGACTGCAGAATTCCTAAAAGTCTCTCAAGTGATAGAAGAGATATGTCTTTTGACTCTTCTATTGCCACTACCACATACTCAAATTTCCTTGTCAGGCTTCTTAAGATTTTTTCAACAACTCTCCTATCTTCAATGACTTCTCCATTTATTCTTAATTGATTCAAGAGGAGAATTACTCTGTTGTAATAATCTTCCACTGTTTCAGATTCTTTCATTTTGAGCCCGTCGAATTCACATCTAAGAGTTTGTAGTCTCACCACTTTGACTTTGTCTTCCCCGTGATATGTCTTATGCAGAGTGTCCCATGCTTCCTGTGATGAACTTGAAGAAGAGATTATCTCAAATATAATTTCGTCGACTGCTTGATAAATCATATATAAAGCCTTCATGTCCCTTCGTTTTAAATCCTTGGTTTCAGTTTCTTGTTCTTCTATGAAGTTGTTGATTTCTATAATTTCATCGATTCCTTGGTCGATGATATCCCATAATTCTTGCGATTCAAATAGTACTTTCATTTGAATATGCCAATGATGATAGTTCTTCCTGTATAATTTGGGAAGTTGTGGATGTATCATGCTGTTCAAAGTTGAAGCCATCGAAACGTGGCTCTGATACCACAATGTTGGATACAATAAAGTATAAACCACATTTGTATATTATTGACATCAGCTTTCAAATGAATACAGACACGACCCATATATACAAAACAAACAGACACAATGAAAAGACACAACTATTTGACAAAGGGACACATTGACAGTTATCCTTAACTGTCAAACGGTAACTAACGAATTTAACTGTCACATAACAGAAGTGACTATTAGAGACTAAACCAGCGGAAATATCAACCTTGCAAAGCTTAACTTTAACAGAAACTTAGTCGAATTTACCCAAAACCCAGAATAAACTCAAACGTGTTTGTAATAAGGAAACAATAAACTCAAACTCTCAACAGAAACAATAATCAACCACAAACAATAATGTAGCTTGACGGAAATAAATAAGAGACATAAATGACAATGGGAAAAATATTAGAACAATAATGTCAAGTGTCCGGCGCTTGAAGTAAGCAAACATTACGGTGACTAAGGGATTGTTCAGTTTGTTTTCTATTAAGACCTGTATAGATAAAGATGTATGTATTGATAAGGTTGTTTGTCTGCTAATAGATAAGTTAATTGTTGTTCTTTTGTTTATCTGAACGTGGCCACATGTGAATTTTTATTCCTCTTTGGATTTGAACCTAGGACCTCCTGGTACTTTTGACCTTTGGAGCCAAGTTCAAACCAATCAGGCACCACCCTTGTGGTACTTTCAATTCTCTATAAATAAAACACACTATTGATATATTTTCATACTTACTTTTGTGACTTGTCTTATTTAATTTAAATGAGAGAAAAAAAAAGTGAGATTGGGTTGGAGTTGAGGATTGTGTAGACAGATGAGAGAGAGAGAGTAATATTTTAATTGAGATTGGGTCGAAAGAGATGGTGATGTATCCATATAAACAACAAGTAAATATGGATCTATCATGTGAGACACTACATTTGGCTCCAAGAAATGATATTTGTATCTCCCTTTTTCTTCAAACTCTCTGTAACTTCATATTTAGGCTCATTAAGCTTTAATTTTGATTCATAAATGACACTTTAAGACCACAAGAAGACAAATGAATATGATTCTTAATTAGTTTTAACAATGAATTAGTTATACTTACGCCGATATATGCAGTGGTTGAAAACAAGAGTGTTCGGAATCTTCCAACAAACGAATGAGCTGCGTGAGCCATGAGTATGACCGAAAATGATGATAATGAACTTTGGATGTTCATCAAAACTGCAGACGTCACAAGATCAATTCCATTATCTGTAAAATACCATATTAATACAGTTGTAATCGCATAGCTCGTCATGGAAGCGCTAAACACCATACCTGTGTAGCAAATTAAAACACAAAATTAGGAAAATATCGAACAAAGATTGTATTATACATACAGCTAGTTGAATTTAGAAGTGAAGTTACCGACGACATGGAGCACCCGATGATTGTAGATAAAATAATAATAATCTTTCCGACAGAATATTAGGACCAAAGTAGAAACGGCCAATAAGCCCAGTGATGAATAGGAAATGATGAACAAAGGATCCATTCATACGATCAACTTCCCATAAATTTTTACTAAACCTGCCTTCAGTATATATTGTGACTTTCTCAAGATATAGAAAACGTTTCATAGACATATACAGTAGCAAAATGTTTCATGGGAGCAGATGGTACAAGTTGATTGATGCATACCATGGATTGAAACTTACTGAAGTTTCCATGATGATACGGATACCTCCAGAGACTGTTCTCGTGTATTGAAGTTTCCGTGATGATACCTCCAGAGACTTTTCTCGTGTACTGAAGTTTCCGTGATGATACCTCCAGAGACTTTTCTCGTGTACTGAAGTTATTGACCATAATTCTAGTTGGTCAAGGATTGACCGGGTATTTTGGTAGTTTGCAAATATTTTGGAGAACATGGGAGCATGTTCCTGTTTTCTTTCCTTGTTTTAGTATTTAAATAATGTTTCTCCTTTGAGTTTAGATAGAGAGAAAGAGACATATCTCCTGTTTTGAGTTTAGAGTTTAATAAACACAGAAAATTACCCCAAGTGTGTCTTAAGCTTTCTTGTTTTGTTATTAATATTTGGGTATAACCTGTCGATCCGTTGAAGAAGAGATCCAACAGAAGTTTCCATGATGATACCTCCACAGACTTTTTCTCGTGTCTTCCGTGCATAAGCAAGCAACTCCTCCTATTTAGGATTTAACCTTACCATAAAATTTCATGTAAAAAACCTCCACAATTTGGATAGTCTCTTCCTTTCTCATAACCCACATATATATAGACCAACTGATTAAATTATGAGGTGGATGAGTGTAATCATCACATATGTATTACCTATCATAAACATAATCAGCCATCCTTCCTCTGATCATGTCGAAGCTGGTTCTGGACCCATCGATGAGCGAGTTTTAACCCACAGTCAGGAACATGAACCTGCAGGAAATTGCCAAGAGGGAATCAACCCCTTGGACTTGGAGGACCAAATAGTTTTAGAGAATGATGAACAAGATAACAATGAGTCAGCAAGTGTTCCTTTGCCTAAAAAAAGAAAAGTTTGTTTCTATCTTTTCTACTGCAGCTTTGTGATCTTGTACGTAGTATGTTTTCTTGTAATAGCGTTCGTATATCCCCTAAAACCCAGATGCCAGATCGAGGACTTTAAACTTCCTGGGTACGACAATATCGAATCAGCCAATATGAGTGAAGAAATGAAGGAGTCAGTCTACTTAACCCTCAATTTCAACCACCACAATAGCTTAATATCAGCTTCATGTGATCATCTCAACGTGGTTGTCTATTATCTTCTACCCCAGAGTAAAAGTAGTTATTACCTTGCAAGTACCATAGCTCCAGGGTTCCACCTGAATAAACTAAAGCATACGATTGTGAAAGTTCGCATGCCTGCACCTGGGTTGCCCCGTTTATTGCAGTTGCGGCTGCCACCGTTAACTATTCGTGTGAATTTGGAGTTCACTGTGAGATTTGGTTGTAGAGCACCATGCCGGCATAAGCAACGAGTTAAAATGACTTTCAACTTTCCGTATTAGCATTGATTTTCTGTCCATAAGTATTAGCATTGATTTTCTGTCCCCCACAGCTTTTATGTATAATCATCATACGCACTGATTTGTGGTCCAGTTTGGATGGCAATGAATGTTTCCTTCAAATATTCATATAATACAACCCTCAAAGAGGCATCCCAATGTTCTTGACGAGGTTCATGGAGAAACTGAGACAAGATATGAACCGAGCATGCCAAGTCCGGGGGAGTAACAACCAAGTATATAAAACAACCAACCAATCAGCGATAAACCTCAGGGTCATTGAGAAAGGTCCCCGTTGCACACGCAAGTCGGTGATTAAGTTTCATCTTATTCAATAACATGAGAGAATCGTATGTGTTTGTATTCAACCTTCTTCTACAAACTTATCTTAATGGTTAAGTCCTCCGACCCCATTTCTGTACTAAGAACGCTACATTCACTACTAGAAAACCAGGTATCAGCGACGACTATCAGCGAGGGAATTTTTCCCTCGCAGATCAGCGAGGGATCAGCGAGGGAAATTCCAAAAAACACATTCCCTCGCTGATCTGCGAGGGAAAAATTCCCTCGCTGATCCCTCGCAGATCAGCGAGGGATCAGCGAGGGATATTCCAAAAAACTCATTCCCTCGCTGATCCCTCGCTGATCTGCGAGCGAGGGATCAGCGAGGGAAGTTCCGAAAAAACTAATTTCCTCGCTGATCCCTCGCTAATTTGCGAGGGAACTTTCTTCTACAATTTCCCTCGCTGATCCCTCGCTGATCCCTCGCTGATTTGCGAGGGATCAGCGAGGGAAATCTCAAAAATCAGAATCCCTCGCTGATCCCTCCCAAATCAGCGAGGGATCAGCGAGGGAATTTGAATTTTTTTCATTTCCCTCGCTGATTTGCGAGGGATCAGCGAGAGATTTTTCTATTTTTCCTATTTTCTCATTTTTATGTGTTGATATCGTATGTATGCATGTCATGTGTTGTTTGTGTGTGTGTGTGTATATATATATGTTTGTGGTTGCTAACCGCGATATATGCATGTGTTATAAGTATATATACCCGTCGTGAGGGATCAAAATGATATACATTCACATATACACATACGTTTAAACATATATTCAACAACCCAATCGTGGTTAGCAACTAGTACACATCGTGTATATATGTGTATATATA